GTATACATAAAGCTTTTGGAAGTGTCTGGCAGCTTAAACCTTCAATATATATTCCCCAGGGACCAACATGGCTGTTTTATGTGAAAGAGTCAAAATATTCCTTCTTTGGTGCTATGGATTGAATGAATGTGGCCCCTGAAAATTCATATGTTAAAACCCTAATGTGATGTACTGGGCCTCTGGGAGAAAATTAAATCATGAGGGTGGAAACTCCCCRATGAGATTAGTGTCCTTACAAGAAGAAAAAGTGAGGGCTGGGGTTGTGGCTCAGTRGTAGAGCACTGGCCTAGCATGTGTGAGGCACTGGGTTCAATTCTCAGCACCGTATACAATAAATAAAGGCCCACTGACAGCTAAATTCTTTTTTTAAAGGAGAAGAAAAAGTGGGCTGGGGATGTGGCTCAAGCAGTAGCGCGCTCGCCTGACATGCGTGCGGCCCGGGTTCAATCCTCAGCACCGCATACAAAGAAAGATGTTGTGTCTGCCAATAAATAAATAAATATTAAAAAAAAAAGGAGAAGAAAAAGTGAGCTAGTCCCTCAACCCCCAGTATGAACAATATGAGGCTACTAGAAGRTGGCACCTGCAAACCAAAGAACATGGCCTCACCAGGCATCAGGTTTGCCAACACCTTGATCCTGAACTTTCCAGCCTCCAGAACTATGAGAAATAAATGTATGTTGTTAAGCCACCTGGTATGTGGTATATTATAGGAGTCGAAACTGACAAAGACACTCAGGTGACTACAGCTGTACACATMTTGGTAAGTAAAATATAGGCTGGATTCCAGATATTACTCAAACTTTCGGCCGAGGCCCCTGCATAGTGAACAAGGCATCAACTACACACAGAGGCCCTAATACAAATTCTCCTTACAGATCTCAGGATATGGTTCTGATTCTGAAGAAGGTAGAAATAGAGAGGAAAATATCCAGCTTAAGAGATCAGTATTAGTTAATTATTAATATATTGCTTCTAAGTTAATTATTAGATAGGTAGAAGAACCTATTATGAATTTCTTCCCAACCATGGAGAAAATCCCCATTCAAAATTTGTGATTTGCTTTGTTCTAATTCCATATCTGTCCAGCAATTTCTGCTTGGTAAGAATGTTTTGCCCTCTCCTATTCCTTTTGGGGGAAAAGAAATAATTAGTAAATCAACCATCTCTCTTGTGATTAACAGTTATWGTTTTATATTCCAAGTACCTAAAACATCTCCAAGAAAGTAACTGTTCAGTAAAACTGACTGAAAGAATGAATTAACCCACCATCAGACAGGCACAGGCACATGGCAAGACTAGACTAGTTGGTCTAGATCTCTTTTGAGTTGCAAAGGAGAGCAGGAAGATTCCTCTTGTGTCATGATCCACACTGGAGCACCCTATTTCCAGTTGCCTGATGGGACAGCTACCTACATGAATCACACTTACTCACTGATAACTCCTCTCTGCCAACCTTTTGCTGAACACTCTGAGAATATGATGAGGTCCATGAATCAGAGGTCCCTATAGTCTAACAGGACAGAGAAAAGAAACTAAGGGTTATACGCCTCAATGCAGCAAAGAAATTCACCAACTTCCCTTTCCTAACTACAACTCTTTCTCACATTAATAATATTCTCCAAGTTGCCAAAGAGCAAGAACCTAAGAGTCGCTGTTAACATCTGTTATAGGCTCATTTGTGTTCCTTCCAAACTCATATGGAAGTCCTAACTCTCAGCACCTCAGAATGTAACTATTTGGAGATACTGCCTTTACAGAAGTAATTACATTAACACACAGAGGGGTAGTAGAGGAGTTCTGGCACATGGAGGAGGAAAGTCTCAGAAAAAGCCAAAACTCCTGACATCTTGACCTTAAACTTCTTGCCTCCAAAACTGTGAAAAAAATCAATCTCAGTTATTTAAGCTACTTAATCTGTGGCACTCTCTCATTAGAGCCCTAGCAAATGAATATAATCTCTTGTCCTTGTTCTTCACATAAAAATACCTACCCTACATCATAGGGCCTTTGTAAAGGTTAAATGAGTTAATTTTCATCAGCAAGCCCTTAGAACACTACTTGGCACTCAATATTTCCTATTATGGCTATTATTCATGGCACATTTTTCCAATTATTCRACAATAATTTAACTTTTGTAGCAGAAACATTTGTTAATGACCGAAATACCTTCTTCCACTCTGAACAGAACAGGAAGATGAATYCTAAGTTCTGCCCAGTGAGGCTCTGCTGCCGGGAGCCTGGGATTCACTCCTCCTCTCCGCAGCCTTTCAGAAGASAGGGCAGGGGAAGGGAAGAAGGCTGGGGGGTACCATGATCTTATTTGTGGTACTGGAAAATCCACACAGGATCTCACCAAACTCCATCTGTGAGCGATGCACGCTTTCTTMAAAAAAACAGGTCAGAAGTAGTCCAGGGGCTGCCTTCTTTACGCTAAGAAGAGSGAGTGGTACTGCAAAGACCTTGGAAGGAAACGAACAGTGTTTTGGTTACTAGAGTGGTCCTACCAGAAACGCCAACAACCGGCCAAACGCCTACACTGTCCTGCAAATTTAACTTGTACTCTCAGACTGAAAACAGATGTTTAAGACAGGTACTTGGGATATTCYCTTTTACACGTGAGGAAACCAATGCTCTGAAAGATTCCTACCGAACCTTATGCTGCTGAAAGCCACAGGGAGTGGGGAAGGAGAGGGAGGGCGGGTCGGGCAGCAGAGCCCAGAGCTCAAAGGCTGCGCTCCAGGTCCGCCTCCAACCCGGGGACTYGCGAACCCACCAACAGCAAAGGTCCCAGAGAACCGAAGGCGGCGCCKCCCCTGTCCCTCCACCCCGCCCTCCGCCGCTAGTCGCGGCTTCTCTTCTCGGTGACCCAGGTGCAGATCTCGCTGACCCTACCATCAGATCACAAAGATTACAGGAGACCGCGGGGTCCCCAAATCCACTTACCGCCCTGAGAGGTACTACACAGGCCGCGATCGCTACCCCCGCGACGGAAGTGCGCGGGTGGCTCCGAGCTCCGGAACTACACTTCCCAAGATGCCGCGGGACACTGGGCCGTAGCCCCCACCCCCCACCCCACCCCACCCCCGCCCCGTGGAAGTGCTGGCGCAGACTTGCACAGCCTGAAAAGTTCCGAGAACGGCGGGCTTTATATTCTCCTTCTCCAGCAGACGAAGTGCCACCAAACATTCTGGGCATTGTAGTATCCCTGTAGTTCTTTATGTCTCTCAGTGGAGCAACTACCGTGGCCACGCCTTCCCGGGGCGGAAGTGCTCCAGCCAGAGGAAAGGTCTGGACTACACGTCCCAGAATCTTGGGTAAGGCTGAGCTTCCTCTGTTAGGTGGAGCCTGCAATTTTCCTTTGGATGAGCAGGTGGAGTCTAAATCAATGTTTGTTTTCCAAATCAGCCTGGGTTGGTGGTGATTGTTGTTTTGTTGTTTTCTCCTTGTGAGACAGAAGTATAGGGTTCAAAGTTGGTGATRATTAACTGAAAGGCACATTTTCCAGGCTTGAGTGTCAGGGACAGGAGTAAAGAGTTCAAATTTAAGTTGGAGAAGGTTAAAAGAAAAGCACTACATGCTTTATGCTTAAGAAGAATGATAAAAAGGCCTACCCAACTACAACGTTGTTCAAGACTAACAAGAAAAAATCAAACCGATGCAAGCAGGTCTGACCACAACCCTTTAAAAGAAACCAGGAATAAGCCTAAGTAATAGTAGAAAAATCATGTAACTGTAAAACATAGGATTTAAGCCATAGGATAAGTCAGTGTGTCAGTAGTTATAGATAAATAAGTAGATTAATATAGATAAGGTTAGATTAACATAGCAACCTGCTCTTGTAGCCTTGCATAGGATAAAGGACATAGGGTTTATGGATATTAGTAAAATGACAGATGAAAATGTGCATATAGGCCATAAGATAACTGTAGTTTTAAGTAGGCATCAAACAAGTTACTAGTCCTGAGTGTGTAAAGCATTTGCTCTGGTAGAGACTCATTAGTTACTCTCAACAATGTGCAAACCTTGCTGGGATTATGGGAATAGGGTCATTTGAGTAAAAAGATGCGACTAAAGAAACTTCATCTTAATTTCTTTTTTACTGTCCCTGTGAAGGGAGAACTGCATGACCCATTTCTAGGAAATAAAAACTAAAGCTGTTTTCTTATTTTAAAAAAATTGTCTTTCTGTACTTTGTACCCCATAAATTGTACCCTACTCAGGATGCAGCCGCGGTGGTGGTGGTGAGCTACATCCTRGGTTTGAAAGCCCTTGAGGGTCTACATGACTTTGAAGTAGATTCTTGCCCTGCAGACCCCCACCCAAATTTAGGAAATGACTGTCTAGTACCTGCTTGAACTGCGGACTGTGGTCAAYTGAACTCCAAAGCTAATGCTTTTGTTTGGTTCTATTTATTACTTGCTTGCTGACTGGAAAATTCCAGCCCTGCCTAGAGCCCACAGGTCCCACTTATGAATGTTTTAATTTCTGTGATTGGTAGCTTACATGACTACAAGCAAGTCACTAAGTTGTGGTTTTTGTGCTTATATTCTCCTTGGATGGACTAGGAAGTTGCTGTCCAGCCACAGAACTTGAGTCTCTCGGTGGGTGACAGTCCCTGGCCAGKTAAATAAAACTCTCTTTTAATTTGAAATTCGGGCATAGAGTGCTTTCTGGAGCGGCTCCTGGTAACAATACCAACGTGGAGGGTCAAAAAAAAAACAAAGTCCCTGTCCCTATAGAGCTCTCACCCTGGATACATGCTGCAGACTGCACTTTGGAACCCACAACCTCCTCCTCTTGAACTCAAGATTTCCTGTCAGCTTGCCCTTGGCTCGGCGATCCTGGCGGGACTCAGATTCCGCCTTCCTCTCCTAACRTCTGGAAAGCGTCGTCCTCCCGACAGCTCCAGTACCTGGCCGCGCATGCCCACTTCGAGCACGGGCTACAGAGCGGGAGGCACCCACGTCAGKATTCTTCCAGCTGCACTACATTTCCCAGGAGCCTTGGAGGTTGACTCACCTTTCACCCTTTAGTCCTCTTCCTGTGTGCCAGTGGCCACAGTCCCAGCGTGGTGAGAAAATCGTGTCCCCCTCCCAAAACCCCCCTTCCCCAAAATAAATTCCGCGGAGGCTTTCACATCCGGAATGGACCTGGCGGTGGGGGTGAGAGGCTCCGACGGCGTGGAAGCCCAGTGAGGTAGGGACCCTGGTCCCAAGCCCCACCCCACCTCAGTCAGCCGAACTGGTGAGGCTAAGGATTTAGCCTCCCGCCCTCTGTTATTGGAGGAGCTGTTTTCCCCAAAGAGTGAACAGCAAGATTCTGTTTTTCTTTCTTCTGTACCAGGGATTGAACCCGGGGGCCCTTCACCACTGAGCCACATCCCCAGCCCTTTTTTGTGTGTGTTTTACTTAGAGACAGGGCTTCCCCAAATTGCTAAGGCTGGCTTTGAAATCAAGGTCCTGCTTTAGTCTCGAGAGCCGGTGGGATTGCAGGCTTGCGGCGCTACGCGCGACAAGATTGTTTTTCAAAAAGATTGTCCGACCTTCCGAAGGAGCATGCGCAGAGACCCACGTTTTACCTAGAGTCAACTAATAAGGGAACCCCCCCCTTCCCCGCCCCCGCTGAAGATCCCATTTGTAGGACTCGGCTATCACACTTCTAGGGTAAAACTCTGGAATGGGAGCTTTGGCGCATGCGCTATAAACATTGTGGGGACAGGAATCTGTCAATCATTCCTTGTTTAGCATAAATCACTCCTAGCAAAAAGCCCGGCAAAGGTGAACAAAGAACTCAGAAGCGCCTTTAATCCCTGACCTTTTTGAGCTGGCAGCCCTRTGTCTTTGTTTTCTGTCCCTCTTGGGCACAGCACAGTATCTTCCTTCCTCCAATAAACTCCTTTAATTAAAGGTCCCCTCACACCCAGAGAGCTGGCAGGTCTTGTCCTGTGCAAAGTCTTAGAGCAGCAGAGGGGGAACTGTGTTGTGTCTCTGACGATGTTTGTGTTGGCGCATCACTAACTGGTTGATTGGATGCGTGGCTTATGGGTAGGCGAGAGTTTTGTGGCTGTGTGTTGATATGTTACTTAATGTCTCTAGGTTCTGATTTCTCAGCCTTCTCTCCTTTCAGTCGCCTGGGGTCGGCAGCAAGTAAAAGGGAAACCAGATTTTGAGCCAGAAGACAGACTTGATCTTGAGAAAAGACTTTTTTTTTTTTTTTTTAAACTTGGCCTCATATTTAAGGCTGGAGTCTGGGTAGACCTGATGAGGCTATCCCAGGAGTAGGATTACCTTTGGGAGGTTCCTCTCTGGAAGTTCCAAGGAGTTAACGACATGTTTTCATAACTACAGTATTTCCCAAAACTCTGGCCAAAGGCTCCAGACATGAACCTGGCCTCTCTTGTGTTGGGAAAAATCAAWTCCAGTCTCCTTCCTACCCAGGTCTGGTAATGTGTGGACTAGGTGAGCAGGTGAAGCAAGAATTAAAGACAGGCAGTGTAGATAGGTGATCTTGATTGGTGGGGAAGATGACAGCTGATTCAAAGGGAATGGAGTGTTATCTTTTTCTTCCTCTAGTTAATTGCTCTTGAACACACCCACTAGTCTAAGGATCTGGGAAGTGAATATCTCCCAAATTAACATGTGAATCCTAGTATACCATAGGGCGCCCTGGGACCCCCTGGAATGTAACCCTTTTAGGGTTCCTTTAAAACACCCCTATCACTCCTGATTGACATTCATAGCCTTTGGGACAGGAGTCCCCTGTTTTTCTCCTTTGATAGCGAAACAATGAAACAGCCTTTTGCTTTTTCTCAAAACCATGTCCTCATTATTAAATTGGCATTAATTGGCATTGGGGACAAGGACTAAGCTTTCTGCAAAAGGGACAGGACACTCTMACTTCTTGGGATATGAGGACATCAGCTATGGCCCTCTTTTCACTTTCAGGAGACATCTGTTACTATTATTTAAATAAAACTCACTTTCCCTGCTTGCCTTGGCGCTTCTCCAGTGTTTAATCTTCACATCTGGGAAGCAGAACTGATAACCAGTGGTATCACAGGTGTGATCTTGAAGGGTGTTTTCTCAGTTACTGTGCTATGGGTGAAAATCCTGATTTTTCATGATTGCTTTCTCTTTTCCCAGTGCCACACCTCTCTAAAAAACAAACAGACAAACAAACAAAAATCCTGGAAGAGGAAAGAATTTTTGTTGCACATCTGACAGTTAAAAGTTCAGGTGAGTTTATGATTCTTCATTCTTCATAACATGCACTTTAATTTCAAATACTTGAGACTCTTTCCCTTCCCTTGAAATGTTCTGCCTCATAGTGACTGATCTGTAAATACAAGATCTCACTTTCAGGGCCTTCTCTATATTATGTATGTAACCTCTTGCCTACTGTTAGCTATTATGCTTCAAAGTTTTTACTAAAAATTAAGCTCATAATGAATATCATTACACATAGACTTCTGTGTCTTTTTATAGTTATTCCCTGAGGATAAACTTCTAGATTTGAAATTTCARTCAAATCATAGATATAATAAAAGCAGACAACATTACTTCAACTCAGAAAGATAGTGGTTCATATTTCCTTTTATGTTTAATGGTAGTTATAGTTTTTTGTTTTGTTTTGTGGTGCTAGGGATTGAACCCAGGGTCTTGTGCATGTGAGGCAAACACTGTACCAACTGACCTATATCCCCAGCCTGGTAGTTATAGTTTTTATTCCGTATATTTTCTTTATCACATGAAAGAATTTCCCTATTGCTCCAAATTTACAGAAAATTTTTTCTTGAATTGATTTTTTTAATTAAATGACATTTACATTTCTAAAATAAATCTCAGTCATTTATATTACTGGTTTTTCTTTGCAATGTTTTTTAATATGCTTGCATCTGTGCCCATGGGAAAGATATACTATATTTTTTTCCTTTCTTGAAATGTCCTTGATAGGTTTCTATACCACAATTRTATAGGTGGTGTGGTTTGGATGTGGTTTGTTCCAAGCCAAAATTCATGTTGAGGCTTTGAGAGTGACAGGGAATTGTTTAGAGTATGGCAGGAAGAGGAAGAAGAAAGAATAAAGAAAAAAAAGCTTCAGAGTTCTGAAGTCCACCAGGTCTCAAAGTCTCTTTTTCCTCCCCTAGCTCTGGTTCTCTGAACTTTTCTTCTCTAGTAGAGGAATACCAAGGAAGGCCGGCATGGTTAAATCATGGCCCAGGTAAGTTGATGTCTCTTTCTACTTCTTGAAAAGTTATGATTTTAACTCATGTAATATTTTCTGGTTTTATCCCTAAACAGCCTTTATAAGACAGCTGTTGGACGCGTTTCATAGTTCCCATGTGTCAACTTACTTTTACTTATTCATCAAATAATTCTGCACTATGTTCAATCTTCTCTCAAGAGCAGGTTTTAAGCCGAGTGTGGTAGTGCATGCCTATAATCTCAGCAGCTCTRCAGGTTGAGGCAGGAGGATTTCAGGTTTGAAGCCAGCCTCAGCAATTTATCAAAGCTGAAAGCAACCTAGTGAGACCCTGTCTTCAAATAAAAAAATAAAAAGGAACCAGGTGCAGTGGTGCTCGCCTGTAATCCCAACAGCTCGGGAGGCTGATACAGGAGGATTGAAAATTCAAAGCCAGCCTTAGCAATGGCGAGGCAAGGTGCTAAGCAACTCAGTGAGACCCTGTCTCTAAATAAAATTCGAAATAGGGCTGGCGATGTGGCTCAGTGGTGAGTGCCCCTTAGTTCAATCCCCAGTATCAAAAAAAAAAAAGAAAAGAAAAAACATGGGCTGGGGTTGGGTTGTGGCTCAGTGGTAGAGCACTTGCCTAGCATGCTTGAGGCACTGAGTTCGTTCCCAGCACCACATAAAAAAAACTAAATAAACAAAATAAAGGTAAAAGAAAAGGGGTGGAGGGGGCTGCTGGGGATGTGGCTCAGTAGTTRAGTGCTGTTGTATTCAACCCTAGGTACCAAGAAAAAAGAGCAGATTTTGAGTAGTGAAAAAATTAATTAAGTTCCTTAAAAAGAAAAAAAAAGAAGTTCCTTGAAGGAAATATTTAAGCTGTCCTTGTCAGATTCTCAGTTTCATGATATAGAAGTGATCGTCTTGTTGGACCACAAGAAGGAAAACTTTCTCCATAGTTTTTTGAATAGATAAAGGAAAATTTTGTTGTGAATGGTCTAAGTCTTAGTGCAAGATGAGGTCTCAGCTTTGATAAGCTCTTAGGTTTGGGTAGAGAGAGGATTGGGTCTTACCTAGAGAGAGATCAGAAGCCTAGCTAGAGAGATGAATAAGGTAGCAAGGTCTATTTTGTAGTGGAAGGGAAGTTGCTTATCTTTAGTGARTCAGTGTTGTTCTGGATCATTCTGCATTAGTGTATTCTAACTCAGTAACAGTAGTTCAGTAAGGGATTATAGAAAGGAAGGCCATCTAGAACTTGATAGAGGAGGTGATGCTTTTCTGCAARGAAGAGGTTGGGATTTGTGTCCAATATAAATAGTATAATATTATGTATATTAATATTATTACTAATAATAAAACCTAGTACTTTAAGAAAGATTAAACCTGACAAGAGGGACTAAATGAAATCATTAATTTGTCAAAATAAGGGAAATGCTTATGACATAATCTGACATATAAGAAACTTGTGTTTTGACTTAATTTTACTTAAGTTGTTTTCTTTTCATTTAGTACTTGGGATTAAATTCAAGGGCACTCAACCATTGAGCCACATCCCCAGCCCTATTTTGTATTTTATTTAGAGACTGGGGCTCACTGAGTTGCTTTGCTGAGATTGGCTTTGAATTCRCCATCCACCTGTCTCAGCCTCCTAAACTACTGGGAATACAGGCATGCGCCCTCATGCATGGCCTTAAATTGTTTTCTAAGATAGAGGCTATCAGCTTTTTTGAGATATAAATGACGTAAATGAGTGTTTTAATTTTTGCCTTTTTATAGAAACTTTATTTAATTATAAGTGACAGATAATAAACTGTTCATATTTAAGGCATCTGGTAAATTTGGATATGTWCATTAATATACCTGAGAAACTATCACCAGTCAACATAATGAACAAATCTATCAGTCCAGACATTTTTTGGAACTAGGGATTGAATCCAGGACTGCTTACCCACTGAGCCACATCCCTATCCCTTTTTATTTTTTATGTTGGGACAGGGTCTTACTGAGTTGCTTAGGGCTCACCAACTTGCTGAGAGGCTAGCCTCAAACTTCTGATCCTCCYGCCTCAGCCACCCAAGTTGCTAGGATTACAGGTGTGCACCACCATACCCAGCTTTTAAACATTTTCTTATATCCCTTTATGATTGCCTCCTTCCTGCCCACCCATCCTACCTTTATTTCCCAAMAATTGTTCTACTTTCTCTTTATATGGGATAGTTTGCATTTTCTAGAATTTTATATAACTGGAATCATACATAATGTTCTTTTTTGGAAGATCTGTCTTATTTCATTCAGCACATTTTGAGATTCATTCAGGTTGTACTGTATATTTGTAATGCATTCCATTTTATTGCTCACTAGTGTTCTCTTCTAAGGTAATACCACAGTTTATCCATTTATCTCTTGGTGAGTATTTGAATTTTTCCCATTTTTTGGTATTACAAATAAAGCTGCTGTAATCATTCATGCACAAATCTTTATAGGCACATATTCTTTTCTTTATTTATCTTTGATAAATACTGGGATTAGAATGGTTGGTCATATGGATGCTTAGCTTTTTAAGAAACTAACAAATGATTTTTCAAAGTGATTAAACTATTTTACATTCCCACCTGTGGGGTACAGGAGTTCTGTTTTGTTCCCATATCCATGGGACACTTCAGATGGTCAGTGTCTTTATTGGCAGTCATTCTAATAATTGTATATTGTGGTTTTAATTTGTATCAACATTTATTTTGCATTTCCCTAATAAATAATAATGCTTAATAAATATCTTTAAAAAAAACATTTATTTATTTTTTAGTTTAGGTAAACACAATACCTTTATTTTATTTTTTATGTGGTGCTGAGGATTCAAACCCAGTTCCTCACACATACTAGGTGAATGCTTTTCCTCTGAACCACAGCCCCAGCCCCAAATAAATATCTTTTCATTTGTTACTTAGATGTATATATACCTTCATTTATGAAGTGTCTGTTCAAACCTCTTGCCTTTTAAAAAATTAAGTTATTATTCTAGCATTGAATTTTGAGAGTTGTTCATATAGTCTTTTTAAAAAATACCTTTATTTTATTTATTTTTTTGTTTTGTTTTTATGTGATGCTAAGGATCGAACCCAGTACCTCACACTTGCTAGGCAAGCACTTCACCCCTGAGCTACAAACTCAGCCCATATATGCATACTTTTTAATATTTTTTAGTTTTAGATGATCACAATGCCTTTATTTTATTATTTATTTTTATGTGGTGCTAAGGAGCAAACCTAGTGCCTCACGCATACTAAGCAAGTGCTCTACCACTGAGCCACAATCCAAGCCTCAGCCCATCTAGTCTTGATATAAGACTTTTATCATACATATGGTTTGCAAATATTTTCTCATAGTCTATAGGGTAATTAGACTTCATTCGTGCTGTTTCACTGCTCATCATTTCTCAGCCTCACCCCATTCTCTTTCCCTTCCATATCCTAGCTGAGCAAGATGATAAGAAAATTCAGGGGCTCCTTCCTTTGGTGCTAGTGGAAGGTTGGTTCAAACTACACACATCTCCTTACATGCAAGAACCTTCRCCCAACCCCATTCCTTAAACACAATAAAAACTCTAAGGTATTTTCCTTTCTCTGTTCTYGAAAGCCTTTTTTCTACCTACTTAATCATCTGACTCTCCCCAGAAAGCACTATATATAAATCTTTTTATACCTCCTTAGGTGGTAGGATCATCAGTCTCAACATCTGAACCAAATTTTGTGTGGAAGTTAATTTCTCTGTATGGTAGCTTATCTCTTTACTCATTTAACAGTGACTTTTGAAGTCCAGGAGTTATAAATTTTTATGAAATCCAATTTACCAGTGAATTTTTTTTTTTTTTTTAGTTTTTTTTTTTGGTGGACACAACATCTTTGTTTGTATGTGGTGCTGAGGATCGAACCCGGGCCGCACGCATGCCAGGCGAGCGCACTACCGCTTGAGCCACATCCCCAGCCCACCAGTGTATTTTTTTAATGAATTGTACTGTTCCTATTGTGTCTGAGGAATCTCTGTCTAATTGAAGATTACTAGGTTTTTTTACACTCCATTGTCTCCTAGAAGATATATAGTTTTAGGTTTTACATTTGGACCTATAGTTGGTGTTAATTTTGGCATATGGTACAAGGTATAGATCATATTTTTGCATATGGACGTCCAATTGTTCCAGCCCTGTTTTGTGAAAACATTAGTGTTTCTCTACTCAACTGTCTTAGCACCTTTGTTAGAAGTCAGAGCCAAGTGTAGTCTATGTGTAGTGCCAGCATCCAAGAGGCTAAGGTGAGAGGATCACTTGTCCAAGAATTGAAGAGCAGACTGGGCCACAGTGTTATCCAGGTTTTCATTGCTGTGACAGAATASCTGAGAAAATCARCTTAAGGGAGGAAAGGTTTATTTTCACTCATGGTTTCGGAGGTTTAAGTACGTAGTCACTTGATCCCATCACTGTGGACTTGTGGTAAGGCAGAACATGATGGTGGGAAGTGTGTGGTAGAGAAGAGCTGCACCTCATAGTAGCCAGCAGAGGCTGTAGTCAAGATGTAGTCCCCAAAGGCATACCTCCAAGGACCCACTCCCTTCAGTTAGGCCCCTCCTTCTAAAGTTTCCACACCTCCCAATAGTCCATTCAGTTATGAACTCGACTGATGAGGTTTATCTTCCTCATGATCCAATCACTTGCCAAAAGCCCTGTCCCTGAATGTAGCTGCACTGGGGACCAAGCCTTCAACACATGAGCTTTTGGAGGACATTCTGCATCCATACCATAACAACAATATAGTGAGACCCCTGTCTCCAAAAAAGGAATAAAGGTCACTTGTCTTTGTATTTGTAGGTCTGTTTCTCCATTCTTTGTTCTGTTACTTTGGTTGGTTTGTGTGTTCTGATACCAGCACCACATTGTTTTTTGTTTTTGTAGTTATGGATGGACAACATGCCTTTATTTTATTTGTTTACTTTTACGTGGTGCTGAGGATTGAACCCAGTACCATGTGCGAGGCAAGCACTCTGCTACTGAGCTACAGCCCCAGCCCAACACATGTTCTTTTCTCTATTTTAACATAATAAGTTTTCCAGTCAGAGGGATAGTACTCCAACTTTGTCCTTTTTCAAAGATGTCTACACTATTCTAGGTCCCTTATATTTTTTAAATGAATTTTAGAATCAGCTTATCAATTTCTAAAACAACCCCCCCCCCAAAAAATCCTGCTGGGGTTTTGATTGGGAATGTGTTGAATCTGTGTATTTGCAAAGATAATCATCACCTGATCCATGAACATGTTATCTCTTCATTTATTTATGTCTTTTAAATTTTTTTCTCAGCAATTATTTCTGGGTTTTAAAGTATGAGTATCGCACATCTTTTATTTGATTTATAAAATTTGTATTTGATATTTTTCCACTCAGTATTCAGTATTTCTTATTTAAATTTCCACCAGCTTTTGCTAATATTGAGATATAAGTACGGTTTTTGTTGTTGTTTTATGGTGTTGGGGATTGAACCCAGGGCCTCCTACATGCTAGACAAGAGCTCTATGGCTAACTACTACGTCCCAKTAAAGATGTTATTGATATTTGAATATATTCAACTTGGTCTTCTTGCTGATCTCATTTAATAGTTTCAGTGACTTTCCATAAAGTTCTGCTGGATTTTCTATATCATTAGTCATATCATCTGTGAATGAAGAGAATTTTACYTATTTTACAATCTGGATTCTTTTATTTCTTGCCTGTTGCATTGACTAGAACCTCTAYACAATACTGAAAAGAAGTGGTGAGAGTAGATGTCCTTGCCTTATTCCTGAAGGAAAGCATTTAGCCTTTAACTAATAAATATGATACTTGCAATGGGTTTTTGTTTGTTTGTTTGTAGATGTCATTCATTAGGTTGAGGTTTCTTGTTTTGCTGAGAATTTTTATCAAGATTAGATGTTGGATTTTTATCAAATGCTTTTTCTGCATTTATTGATATTATTATATGGTCTTTCTTAATATGGTGTTTTGTGTTTGTTTTTAAAGGACAAAGACAGCTTATTGCTTTGCTACCAAAGGAGAAATACAGGGGACTCCWGTACCACAGGCTGTGATTCTTCCCATCAGCAAGAACTAGAGGTTTTCAAAGAGGTCAATATGGTGAATTATATCAACTGGTTTTCAAATGTTAGACCTACCTTGAATTCATGCAATAAACTTTATTGCTTTTCTATGTTGTTGGATTCAGAGTGCTAAAAATTGTTTAGAATCTTTGCATCTGTGTTCATGAGGGATATGAAGCTTGTAATTTTCTTGTAGTATTTTTATCTGGTTTGGCTATGAGGATAATACTCAGGAAGTCCACTGGGTTTCACTTCAGTTCCCYCTTCCTGTGCCACAGTCTAGAAACTGTCTTCTTACAGTGAGCTATATCAGTTGTAGGTCACACCTCATTTGTTATTTCAGAGATCATAGTTTGCTATTATCCAGTGTTTTCTGTGTTGAAACCATGTTTCGCATATTTTATCCAGTTTTTCATTTATTTCATGTAGAAGGGCAAATTGAATCTCTGTTATTCCATCAGAGTAGGAGAGATTTCATAATGTTTTGAGGGGGTGAATTGTATCTTCTTTTTACATAGTCCATGAAGAAAAAAGAACTTGTACAGACTAGTAGTTGGTGGCTTGTGCAATGTCCTAATATATACCATTTAATTTAATTTGGAAAGTCTGATTACTTTATTCATTTTCATATATTTAAATACTTTTCCATGTTGTCGAAGTAATTTTTTGTGGTTCAAGAGGATTAAGATTATGTAGGATTCCACATAAGATATTTACTCTCATTTAACCATGTAATGATCTCATAACTTCAAACTCTTCTTTTTTATATATTGCCTCTTTATGTATTTCATCTGGGAAAAGTTTTCTTTTAAAACTAATATATGGGTTTATCATTTCAGGTACCACTGACTTTCAGTGATGTTGCCATAGACTTCTCTCAGGAGGAGTGGGAATGTCTAAACTCAGATCAGAGGGATTTATACAGAGATGTGATGGTGGAGAATTATATCAACTTGGTCTCTTTGGGTAAGAATTTGCTCTCTGGAGTATCAGCTTTCTCTACTATATATTGATTATTGTATATATTATATGCCAGGAAACCAGCTAAATTTCTGCTCCATGTTCTCAAAATATTGATTTGAAATGTGTTATTTAGAAACAGGAACCTCCATTTTGTGCCTGAATCTTCCCTATTCACATGCCTTCCTGCCTTCCTCTGCCCTATCCTGTAATTGAATTTTTTCTAAATGAATTTCATATTATATGTGTGCTCTGAATGTTTTTAAATATTCTGTTGTAATTGCTGATCCTTCAACACAGAGAACAGATATTATAGGATCTTGGTTTTCTTCTTTTCTACAAAAGAGCCTCTGAATTTCATTGTAGAAGAATGAATCAAGATCATTTTCTTTCTGTTATTTTTTGTTGTTAGAGCAGTGGAACTATTGACTTGCAGCGATCTGATAGATTCTACCCAGAGGTAGAAGTCTTTGTCCTGATTATGGAAAATACTTGGCCATCCTCTCCTCTCCTCTAGAAATGTTACTATACCCATGCTAGACCTTTAGAACAGATCTTGCAATTCTATCACTGCCTTCTTTTGCGCTTCCGTTTTTCTCTGTGCTGGAGTTTGAGTATTTTCWGTTGACTTGTATTCTAGCTTCCTTATTTTGTCTTCTATTGAGATGAGTCTGCTCTTAAAAGAGTATATATTTTTTTTGTATCAGATACTGTCTTTTTCAGTTTAGAAATTCAGTTTGATTTTTATATTTTCCATTTATCTGTTGAATTCCTTCCTTGTTTTATTGAGGGCTTTTTTTTTTTTTTTTTTTTTTTTTTTTCCAGGGATTGAACCCAGGGGAGCTAAGCACTGAGCCAGATCCCCAGCCCTTTTTAATTTGATTTAATTTTTATTTTCAGACAGGGTCTGAGTTGCTTAGGGCCTCGCTAAATTGCTGAGGCTGGCCTTGAACTTATGATCCTTCTTCCTTAGCCTCCTGAGTTGCTGTAATTTGGGGCATGTGCCACCATGCCAGGCAAAAATATGATATTTTGAAAAACAAACTTTTGACAAATCAATGAAATCAYTATTAGATTTTAATCTATAAGAATCACTCAAGGAAAAAATAAAAAGAAAACCTCAAAAGTATCACAGTTCTAAAGAATCTGAATCAATCATCTATATATTCTCACAAATTAGAAAATTTAGGCCGGAGTGTCATAAAAGTCCTGAAATGTAGAGCCCCTGTGGGTGATGGGACACTCCCAGGTAATGGAGATAAAGCAGAGCCTTTTTTTATTATTATATATTTTGGTTTCATTCTAAAATCAAGATAAATCATGTGGAAAAGTGATATAGAGAAATATCTGGTAAATGGTGTTAGAAATGCAGATGAACAGCTCGACTTCTATACATTCTGATTGACTTGTCTAGTAGATACCTAAAAGGTAGTGTATGCCTTAGTAATTCTGATTCATAACTAAATATGAGAACTACTGACTTTTTCTGTTTGCCTTCTCATTCCTTACATCCTAATGTGAACTTTTATAACTTTCCAAGCCCTTTTTTTTTTTTTTTTTTTGGTACCAGGGATTGAACGCAGTGGTGCWTAACCACTGAACCACAACCCCAGCCCTTTTTTGTATTTTATTTAGAGACAGGGTGTCGCTAAGTTGCTGAAGCTGGCTTTGAACTCATGATCCTCCTGCTCAGCCTCCCAAGCAGCTGGAATTAGAGGCATGTGCCACTACACCCAGCTTCCAAGCCCTTCTTGCCTTTTAAAAATATCATGGCTGTATTTTAGAATTTCCTTATCCTTTTGTTGTTGTTGTTGTTGTTTTAAATATTTCTTTATTTTAGTTGTACACAATGCCTTTATTTTTATTTGTTTATTTTTATGTGGTGCTGAGAATCAAACCCAGGGCCTTGCACGCACCAGGCGAGCACTCTACCACTGAGCCACAACCCCAGCCCCATCCTTTGTTTCTAAAGTATGATCTTTTCAGGTTTGTTTTGTTTTGGTACTGGGGATTGAACTCATGGGCCTCAACTACTGGGCCTCATCCCCAGCCCTATTTTGTGTTTTATTTAGAGACAGGGTCTCACTGAGTTGCTTAGAGCCTCACTTTTGCCGAGGCTGGCTTTGAACTCATAATCCTCCAGCCTCAGCCTCCCAAACCACTGCACACCGGCAACTTTTCGGTTTTTGTTGTTAATATAAAAAGCCCCTCCCTGTCCTACCCCATAGGAAAAATGGCATTTGTTTTTCTCATTTTCTTTCAGACTTTGATTTCTCAACTGAGACCAACAAGCTGTCTTCAGAAAAAAACATTTGTGAAATAAATTCACACCATAAGGAGACATTGAAAAGAAATAAAACCTTCAACCTGATGGGGTTTATTTTCAGTAATGAGCCACCATGGAGAACTAAATTTGGGAGACAGCAGGGAACTAAAGTGGAATGTCAAATGATAATCAGAAAACTTGTATCCCTTCCTTTCCACCAGAGAACTCACACTGTAAACAAATCATACAAATGTCAGAAATGCAGGAAATGCTTTAGAAAATCTTCACAACTTACTGAACATCTGAGAGAACATACTGGGGCGAGTGCCTATGTGTGTAAGGAATGTGGAAAGGCCTTTGTAATTCTCCGGAATTTTATTAAACATCAAAAATTTCACACTAATCCTAAACCCTATGAATGTAATAGATGTGAGAAGGCGTTTAGGTTTTCTTCAGAGCTGATCCGACATCAGATGATTCATACTAGTGTGAAGCCCTATGAATGTGTGCGGTGTGGAAAGGCTTTTAAACGTCAGTCTCACCTTGTTGAACATCAGAGAATTCATATTGGTTTGAAACCCTATGAATGTAAGGATTGTGGAGAGAGCTTTAGGTTGTACCGACATATGTGTCTGCATCAGAAAAGTCATCATGGTGTGAAGTCCTATATCTGCACAGAATGTGGGAAGGCCTTTGGTCGTTGTTCGGGTCTTATCCAACATAGGAAAATTCATTCTGGTGAGAAACCATATAAATGTAAACAATGTGGAAAGGCCTTTATTCGCAACTATCTACTGATTGAACATCAAAGAAGCCACACTGGTGAGAAACCTCATGAATGTATGGAATGTGGAAAGGCCTTTAGCAGGGGCTCTAGCCTACGAAACCATAAAAGAATTCACAGTGGAAAGAACCTCTATGATTGTACAGAGTGTGGGAAGGCCTTTAAGAGGGTCTCAAGCCTTCGTAACCACAAAAGAATCCATAGTGGTAAGAACTTCTATGATTGTAAGGAGTGTGGGAAGACCTTTAGCAGGGGCTCAAGCCTTCATAACCATAAAAGAATTCATAGCGGTGAGAACCTTTATGATTGTAAAGAGTGTGGGAAGACCTTTGGTCGTCGCAATCTACTTACTCAACATCAGAGTTTTCACAGAAGTGAGAAAAGAGGAAAGCCTTGAGCCATAGCACAACCTTTATTGTTATCACTGTTCCACCTCCCGATGATATCATCATGGTGAAGATAACACTAGTTATGAAATAAAAATCCTTGGAAGGATTGYTGGCACCTTAGTATTTACTTACTAAATATATTATTTTATGTCCATGATTAATATTATTAAAAATAAATTCATGAGTAAGAAAGATACCAGAGTATGATATTTTAAAAAACTTTCTATCATTTCACCTCATTCATTCTGGAAAAAATCCTTGAGAATGTGTTATATAAGAAATCTTGGGGCTGGGGATGTGGCTCAAGCGGTAGCKCGCTCGYCTGGCATGCGTGCRGCCCGGGTTYGAGCCTCAGCACCACATACCAACAAAGATGTTGTGTCYGCCGAGAACTAAAAAATAAATATTAAAAATTCTCTCTCTCTCTCTCTCACTCTCTCCCCTCTCTCACTCTCTCTTTAAAAAAAAAAAAAAAAAAAAAAGAAAGAAATCTTATTTTGAATTTATCCACTTAAAGAATGCCCAAAGGAATATCCTGTCTGGTGAAAAATCAGAGGGTGATTTGAAGAAATTTTTTTGTAATAAATTCTATAGCAGATAAAATGCAAGTCATATTGCTACAATATGAAGAAATAAAAAAATGAACAGTTAGGTGACCAAAAAACACATATTGAGTTGGAAAAGTTTTCTCCAATTTTATGCAAGTTTCAGACTTAAATATTTATAGAAAAGGTAGCTTTTCAGTGGGTGATGAAGGCCTGTTTACTCTCCACCTAGTGGCAGTATACCTGATATGTCTTTCATATGTATTTACATGTGTGTATGTACACACGTGAATCCATATGGATGTGCATGTCTCCTGTTTGTATATATAGGCATATGTGTAGTCAGGTTTTTGTCACTGTGACCAAAATACCTGACAAGGAAAACTTAAAGAAGAAAAGTTTATTCTGACTCAAGGTTCAGAGGTTTGGTCTGCAGTGGGCTATCGCCATTGCTGTAAGCCCAAGGTAAGGCAAAAACATGGCAGAAGGCATGGTGGAGGAGTCTGCTCATTCATCATGACCGGGAAGCAGAGAGGAGAGCAGGCCACAGGGAAGGCAGCCCTTCCAGGGCACACCCCCACTGACCCCTTCCTCTAACTGTATCCCTCCTGCCTACAKTTACCACCCATTTAGTCCATTCAAACTAGGATGGACTGGTTAGGTTATAGCTCTCATAATTATCTCTGATTGTTCTACATTAACACAGGAGCTTTGGGGAGGGYGTCACCCCCTATGTAAACCATAACAACATACATATCCTATTCTGTATATTACACATATTGTTTTGCTGTTTTTTAAGTGAATGTTTTGGGTATCACTTCACCTCTAAAAAGATGACATATGGAGTTGGGAGTGTAATCAGTGGTAGAGTTTGCCTAGTATGTGTGAGACCCAGGATATGAGGCCCAGCACTGCACAACAAAGCAAAAAACCAACATACAAGTCCTAGGATTCTAGATAATGTGCTGTCTGACCACTAAACTATTGACACCTAAAACAATTAACAGTAACTCCATAATGTCCTTTAATGAAGTAGGACAGAAGAGGCTGGGTACCAGAGGTACTTTCAGGAAGCAGGTTTATTGACTGCAGGGTTCACAGGTGGCTCAAGCCCAAGAATTCTTTCCTCTGAGCAAGGAGTTTGGAAATTCTTTGAACTTTATACTGGGGGAGGGGCAGGAGGGCTTGGAGATTAACATGACATGGGCTCTCTGTTCCATCCCCTAGACCAGGCACAGGTTTCACAAGTTTTTTTTCTGCAAACCTGGCAGAAAGAAAGGAGGAAACTGGATTACCTACCAAACACAATGTGTAAAATTTAATTTCAAATGGATCAAAGAGCTAAATGTAAGAACTAAAATTACAAAACTCTTAGAAGGAAACATGGAAAGTTTCATTACATTGGATTTGACATGGATTTCTTGGCATGTCACAAAATGAGTCAACAAAAGAAATATATTTCATCAAAATTTAAAACCTGTATAACAAAAAAATATGATAAACATAGTGAAAAGGCAAACTAAATGATAGAAGCAATATTTGAAACTTTTATATCTGACAAGGAGTTAATATCCAAAATATGTAAAGAACTCTTACAGCTCAACAACAATAACAAAAATCTCTCAAAAAAAAATCCAGCAAATAGGGGCTGGGGCTGGGGCTGAGCAGTAGAGCACTCGCCTAGCATGTGCGAGGCCCTGGGTTCGATCCTCAGCACCACATAAAAATAAGTAAAATAAAGGCACCGCGTATCCAGCCACAATTAAAAAAATAAATATTTTTTTTTAAATCCAGCATTGGATTTCTCCAAAGAAGTCATACAGGTGACCAATGAGCACACTGAAAAAGTGCTCAAAATCAATCATTAAGGAAATACAAATGAAAAACAGTGAGCTGGCTCTGTGCTGGCACACACCTGTAATCCCAGAAGGCTTGAGGCCAACCTTAGCAACTTGGTGAAATCCTATCTCAAAAAAAWTTTTTTTAAAGAGTGGGGATGTCACTTAGTGGTAGAGTGTCCCTGGATTCAATCCCCAGTACTGGGGGGAAAAATAATATAGAGTAGGATGGTTATTTCTTAAAAATACAAAAGGAATACAACAAATATTGGAGGTGATATGGAAAAATTGCAACCATTACATATTGCTGGTGCATAACTAAAAAGATGCAGTTCCTGTAGAAAATAATAATTGGTTCCTCAGAAATGTAAAYATAGAATTACCTTATGATCCATCAATTCTGCTTTTACATACATACCAAAAAGTATTGGAATTGGGCTGTGTGCAGTGGCTCACGCCTGTAATCCCAGCAACTTGGGAAACTGGGGTAGAAGGATCGAAAGTTCAGAACCAGCCTCAGTAATCTAGTGAGATCCTAAGCAAATTAGTGAGACCCTGTCTCTAAATAAATAAAAAGGGTTGGGGGGGCTGGGGTTGTGGCTAAGAGGTAGAGCATTGCCTGGCACGTGCGAGGCCCTGGGTTTGATCCTCAGCACCACATATAAATAAATAAGTATAAAGGTATTGTGTCCAACTACAACTAAAAAGTAAATATTAAAAATAAATAAATAAAACAAAGATGTTGTGTCTTTGTTTTATTTATTTATTTTTATGTGGTGCTGAGGATCAAACCCAGGGCCTCACACGTGCTAGGCAAGCACACTCTACCGCTGAGCCACAACCCCAGCCCCTGTAAGAAACATTTTTATTCACAAATAAAAAATTAAAAAAATTAGCAGAAGGCAATCATTTTGAAAGCATGAGGATGCCAGTCCATCAAAGCTAACATCTAGACTTGGTGGCTGAAATTTCTAACTTTAAAGCCTTATTTTGGTTATGAATGCTCCTGCGTTCAATCCCCTGTATAAAATAAATAAAACAATTTTTTAAAAGAATTGGAATCAGATAATTGTACACAATGTTTATAGCAGCATTAAATAACCCAAGTACCTATAAATGAGTKGATAAACAAAATATGGTATGTACATACAACAGAATGTTATTTGGCCTTTTAAAAATGAACAAAATTTGATATATGGTATAACATAGATAAACCATGAAAACACTATGCTCAGTGAAGTAACCCAGACACAAATTGATAAATACTGTATGAMTCCACTAATATGAGCTACCTAGAAAAATCAAATTTTTACTCAGAAARAATAACAGGAGATTGAGGTGGAGGAGAGGGTGAGAGGGGATTATTCATAGTTTCAATTTGGGATGATAAGAAAGTTCTGGCATGGMCAGTATTGGTGGCTGCACAACAATGTGAATATTTAGTGTCAATTATACACTTAAAATGGTTGGAATGGTAAATATTATGTTACATGTTCTATCTCAACAAAAATAACGAAGGAATTATGCAGTGCCAAAGTATAAAAACAAATGAAAAATGATTTTAATCTTTAAAGTGAGTACCTGACATCCAAGTAGAAATCATAAATAACTGACAAATTTATCTGAGAATATATGTAGATGGATACACAACTGTGAAAATAATGAGCAAAGGATATAGGTGGAAATTTAAGAAAAAATTATGAAGGTGAACATGAAAACATACCTGAGCTTATGACTAATAAATGGGAATGTTATAAAAAGATGGATGTGGTGGTACATGCCTCTAATCCCAGAGATGAAGGAGGCTGAGGCAGGAGGATCTCAGACAAGTCTCAGTCTTCACAATCATGTGAGCCAATTATATCACATTATGTTCTGTTTATTGGGAGAACCCAGACTGATATAAGAGGAAAAGAAGGAAATGGTCATACAGGCCTCCACATGCCACAGTGTATATGCTGTCTGCTCTAAGTGGCCCACAGGAACTGCCTGAGTGGACTTGGAGGAGAGGTTTCATTCAAAATGATCAGAACTAACTTTCTCCACAGAGACATGAGGTACCTACMCAGAAAAAATACTCCAGTACCTCTGAGCTCTCAGTTCCCCTCAGTCTAAGCCTTTTCTCAGGAATTCTTTTCTGCTCTTTGCCTTACATGTTAATTCTAATTCTGCAAATTTCAGCTTAATTTTTCATTTCCCTTKCTTATTTAAACCATGATTACCCATCTCAAAACAGGCTTTCCTTTTTCATGTGATCATTTTCCACAATGTTTGATTTTTAGTTTTATTTATACTTGGATTATTCTATTCCGTATCTGTCAAATAAAATATCCAYTACAGCAAGAATTTTTGACTCTGGTTATCTTCTATACCAGGAGTTAGAAAAGTAAGACCCAYGGTACCAAACTCAGCCCACTTCCTGTTTTTGAATGCTTCGGACAATAACTTAAGAATAAGAATAGTTTCGCCTCCTAAATGGTTGAAAAAAATCAAAAGACAAATGACATATTGTGACAGTTGGAAATTACGAGATTCAAATGTCTTTACCCATAAAGTCTCACTGAAACACAGCCATTCTCTCTCATTTATATATTATCTATGGCTTCTTTCATGCTGTAACCACAGAGTTGTATAATCACAACAGAGACACTATGGCTCCAAATTAAATATACTCCTACTGTATACTCAGTTCTCAAAACAATTCCTGGCAGATGATAGAATCCATTGGTCCATGTTGTATCACTTAGACATCAGGTGTTTACTTCAAGAGCTGGGCTTTTTCTTAAATTAATCACTTTCTCCTAGCAAATGGGAAAGCAGAGGTCCCATGAAGCTAAGAGCAAAAGACAGCCCTGGTTGGTGAAGGTCAGGTTTGCCTCAGCTGGTCAGACAGTGAGTCCA